TTTAATTTTGCTTTTAATAACTTTCATAAGGCTTGACAAAATATTTGGCGTATCACATGTATGCGACCAATGATATATTCATGTAACTACACAATAATATTCATTATCTTTCTTTGTCTCAAACCTCCCTTAGAGGTGAGTTGTAGTATCCAACCATGCACAACTACATTATTATGCATAATCTTTATCACATATATATTTTCATATTCACTTTCAGGAATGAGTATGCATTCTCAATGTTTATCACAAGTCACATTCTCTTCAAAGAATGGAGTATAATCATACAATGTGCTTTATATTTTTTTCCATACCCATTTGATGGTAAACATTGTCTTGTTCTCCCTTTTTATAATTACCATAATGATAACTATTATTATTTTGGCCTTTGGCACGCCCACATTCATTTTTCAACAACTTGTCTTTATTTAGACTTATCATGCACTGCTATCACATTCACTTCAAGAATGGAGCAAATCAAGTGGGACAAACTTCATGCTTTTTCATGAAATATATATATATATATATTTTTAATTATTATTATTATTATCAATATGGTGCATTAGGACTCAAACCCAATGCCTTACCCATATAAAGGCATGCTAGGCCATAATGCGTTGGAACTTGAATCCAACATCTTTTCATCAACATAATGCGTTGGGACTTGAACCCATCATCTTACCCTCAATCTTTGGCATAATAGGCCAAAATTCACTAGGACTCGCACTCGAGCCTTTAAAATATTATTACTTCATAATTATAGGCATAAGTAAATTAACTTTCAAGAAGACATATATAACTATTTCAATCTTGAAACAGTTCCTCTGCAACAAAAATGCTAGTTAGGATATATGCCATTTTTTTTTAAAAATGATACAATCATTTTTATATTTTAATAAATTAATTAGGGGAAAGATGCAGATAAGCTATAACCACTTATATTTCAAAGACTATAAGAACTTCACCAAAAAAATCCAATACGGAGGAATGAGCCTTATGTTTCCAGCAAAAATATTTAAGGCTTAATGCATAACTGTGACTATTATAAATTATAACTATAATGAGTTTATATTGATTGTATATTCGAATGCCAAATTTGCAAGGTACTGTAAAATCGCCTACATATTTGATAATTTTGCTTTCAATGAAATACATCATGTGATGGTAAAAATATTATTACTAAATTACCTTAATAATTATCTATCATAGTATGTAAAAGGTCAGAACATATATATACGTTGGAATATTATATTTGTCCTATAAGAGATGTAGCAAATAAAGACATACCTTTCCAGTTCTTTATTTTAGTGGATACAATTGAAAAAATTATATTAACTAAATACTGCACATAAAGTTAATACAAATATATGAAAGTATGAATGGGTTTAGATTGATATAAAACTTATCTTTGTATTATCATCCAAAAAATAATTCATTGTACTTGATCTCATTGTCTGCTTATAATTTACATAGTCTTGACGTAGAAGATCATGAAATGAGCAATTCGTGCTGATAACGTGTTATAAAATAAAAGCAATTTAGTAAAACATGAACAAGACATGTTGTTATGAAATAAAGGCAATTTAGTAAAACATGAACAAGAAATAGAGATAGAGAGAAGGAAGAGATTTTCTTCTTCAATTGTGTGTATTTTCTTATCTATTACAAGGCCTTTATATAGGCATGAAAAGTGAAGAAAAATATGTCATTGAATATATCATTAAGCATAGAAATATGTCATTGAATATGTCATTAAGCATTTGAGAAGATCATGGAAGAAGAGTAGACATCCACCATAATTTGATTTTTCTTATAACAAAAATTTAATTTTACTCTTCATAAATATTATATTATTTTTAAGATCATAAATTCTAAAACCACCTCTTCTTCTTTCTCTTAAACTCCGCGCCTAATAAAACCTTAACGTAAAATGGTTCAGAGTGAATTTAGTATTATTTTTTGTGAGATATATCACATCACATGACGTTGTTTTTTTTATTTTTTTTTATTTTTATATGAGGCTCCACGGGTCAATCTCAACCCAACAATAAAGGTCACCAGCAGCGTCAGTCACGGAGCCAAGTTCGGTAAAAAGGGTTCAATTGACCCCCTTTGTAAATAAATTACATCATATAAAAAGAGTAAATGCAATTTTTTTTGTAAATATATAAACTATTGAATTTCCTTGACGCAAGTTTGTAATTTTTATGTGATATTTTAAAATTGTTTTGAATTCCCTTACACAAATTCCTGGTTACGCCGCGCTAAAAAATTTCTGTTCTTTTGCCTTTCTCTTTCAAGTCTTCTTCAAATGATGCCTACTTTGGTCCCACCATAATACCATTGTCAACATTGTTAGTTGGTTAACCTCATTATTCCTAACTCAGTTATCTGCTTTTTCACGATACAAACCACTATATATTCACAAGCTGATTCTTGAGTTGGAGTTGAAGTATAGTTGGTAAGCTGCCCGTGGGATTGTTTACTTGTAGCAAGAGCGCATTAAATTGAGCATTTCTTATCACATTCTTTTTAGTTTTTTTTGTAGTAAAAGTATTTACCGATTCTCCGGGAAAATATGTTGGTCTAGTATAAGTAATACGAGGATTTCAATTGATCCTTAAGGTGGTGGGAGTACAATTCTTCATTTCAAGTTCCGTCACTAGTGCCTTGTATGGTTTGTTGGCGTACTCGGGTATGTCAATTTTATTTTCCTTTTGAGTGTCAAAAACCGTATTTGCCCCTTAATTACTGTTATAATTGGATTAGAAGTGTACATTTTGTTTAATTGAAGGTTAGATATGCTTAACCAGAAAACACAGTGTCTGAAACTAGAATATAGCAATAGTGAGGGACCAAAATTGCTATTCTTTTCCCAAAACATATTTAATGAAACATTGGTTGAAAATTACTTGATTGTGAAGAGAGATTTGTTTGTGTCAGTGTCAGATGGAGGAGAGCAGTCTATTAGTGTTAATGAGGCTTTAGAAGAATTAATTCCTAACTCATCTATAGTGAGTAAGTCATACTTAAAGAGGATTGCAGTGAATCTTTTAGTAGATTTCAAAAATTCTTTTCCATAATAAATGCAATGCTCAGAAGCGTATAAATCCGCCCCTCCTCCATACAAAAACGACATCGGAAAAAAACGAGAAGAAGAACGAGCTTTGTTCACTATTCTGCAATCGATTTAATTTGAATGGTGAGCTCAATATCTTTATTTATTTTGAGTTGGAATTTTGTTTTTTTGGTTATATGGGACTTGAAGGGTTGTCTTGGATTGACGGTATAGTTGTCTCCGTGTGATTTATAGGTCACGGGTTTGAACCGTGGAAACACTCACTAATGCTTGCATTAGGTAGACTGTCTACGTCACACCTCATGGGGTGCGGCCCTTTCGGGATCCTTTGTTCACCGGGCTACCCTATATAGCTATTAGGACTCTTATCGATAATCATGATTATTCATTTTCTTCATTTCTTATGTGCAAATTTTTTTGCAGGATCGAGCTTTCATTTTTGTGATTTGTATTACTCCATTTATTCTTGACAAAAGTCTTGCTGCTATTTTTGATGTAACAAGTTATGGCGCCGTTGGAGATGGAATGCACGACGACACTAAAGTAACACAAATAATTTCAATTGTAAAAATTAACTTATTTTTCACTTTCACTTTTATTTTATACACACATTTCAATTACTCATACGCCCTGAGAAACAACACGCGTGTGCTCAAGAGCATGTATCATCTTAAGGAAAAATATGTATAGTCTAAATTTAGACATATATATTATTGCGTTTTCAGAAGATTATTTTTTAATTAACAAGAATAAAAACTAATCTTTTACTTTGATTAAAGTCCCCTTTTCAAGGAAAGGAGAGTAAAATTGAGATAGAAAGAGAATTTGTTTTTGCTATTTTTCCCGTTAATTAAGTTGTTTTTAAGGCATTTTACAGCTTCTTATTCCATTTTTATAGGCATTCAAACAAGCTTGGACAGCTACTTGTAGCAGTAAAAGTAGAAATCCGTCAATGCTTATACCAAGTGAAAAGTCATTTTTAATACGGCCTATTACATTCCAAGGACCTTGCAAGTCCTCCAATATTCATCTACAAGTAAGTTACTTCAATTTCTATTCCTATTTCACTTCATTTTTCCTCGATATATATATGAAGTCCTATAAGAACGAACTTGAATTTCAGAGATTTTCGCTTTGTAACACTAACTTCCCTGGTGCCTTACGATATTATGTTTAACTCCCTTATTTTGATATTTGTAAAACAAAAATTTAACCTAGTTGTTTTAATATAAAATACAAGTTGAATAGTTTACTCTTTTTCAATAAAGTTTTGTTTTATAATTTACCTACTTTGTATTGGGATGTATTAATGTTTGAGAGGAGTGACATGTCTTTCTTTCTTCTTGATTTGCCGTTTGTCCAATTTCCAGAAACGATAACACGTGTAACTTACAGGATCCATTATGTCCGCTCTGCTCGGTTCTCTTATTTTAAAAAAAAAATTATAGATGGAAAGTAGTTTTCAATGACAACACTCTGGTATAGAATTGAGAGCGGCATTGAAAATTGACAGGGCATAAACGGTATAATTTTTTTTTTTACAAGGGTATTTGGTTTTTCATTGTTAAAGAACTTATTGAAAAAGATATTCATATAATTAATTAACTAGAAGAGCTTACTTTTAGTAAAGGGGCAAGTTGGTAAGATTTTTTTAATATTAATGATAAATAGATTAAAAGAATTACTACTGAGAAATTAATAAAGAAAGATATGAATAACATCATAAATCACAAGGAAAATTAGTGTTACGAAGCAGAACCTAAGAGTATATATGTCTCTGAAATTATGCCAAAGATTACTAATACTTATTTTTTGGTAAGAGTAGCATTATTTTCCGAACATAAACATATTTAGCAATTGCATTGCAGTTATCAGGATCAATTGTAGCACCAGAGGATCCAAAGGAATGGAGAGGTTGTGAAAATGTTAGTTGGATTTATTTTACAGGTGTTTTTGGTCTCTTCATCAATGGTTCTGGTACTATCAATGGCAATGGCCAACGCTGGTGGAAAATTCCTAGTGGTATCAGGGTGCGTTTTAAACATCCCTCTATTTTATAATTCAAGATTGCATTTTACAAGCCAGAAATTTTAACAAGGGGCATTTACGAAAATACAATAAATGAAACCAAGGATCCAAACCTACGACTTAAAATTACTATTGAATCATTTTTATCGTTACACTAAAAACTTCTCTTATGTTAAATGGATTCAACTTATTTATTCAGTGTACGTAGTTTTTGGATGAATTTGATTCAATTAACTCTCTTTCGAATCATGTAGGCGAAAATGTTTTTAACTAGTACGTACTTTGTCCTTGTTTACTTGCTTGGATAAGTATTAACAAGTGAGATTATTCTTGTTTCAGGTGAATGGAACTTGCACTAAACCAACTGTATGAACTTTTTGGGAAAATTCTCTGATACTAAATTTTTATTATGGTCACCTTACTATGTGTTATTAATTTGAGTCTTTTAATTTTTGCACATATGTCTTTTATAAGATTACATAGAGTTTTTTCTTCTTCTTTTTCTTGGTAGGCTGTCCACTTCAATTATTGTAACGGCCTTCAATTGAGTGGAATTAAGCTAGTGAATAGTTCGAGAAACCATATAAGCCTGACTTACAGCAAAGGAGTAACCATCTCAAATATTCATATAAGTGCACCAAAATATAGTCGCAATACTGATGGTATTGATATCTCTAACTCTAGCCAACTTCACATTCAAGACTCCACTATTCAGACAGGTACTTCTTGTGCTCTCAACTTCCTAAAATCTTAGCTTGTCGGATTCAGAATTTAAAGTTTATAATTTCTTACAACGATTTTAAATTAAGACTACAATAATAATTGGTAAAAATAGCACGGACTAGCCAGTTTTTGCAAAGTCATTAAAAAATAGTCACTATTTTGCTGCAATACGGACCGATCCAACATAATATACTAGATATTGGTGCACCTGTGTATGAACTTCCAGCATATTATGCTGGAACTCCAACACGTAGAAAGTTTTAGCATAATATACTGGAGATTGGAGCACATGTCTATAAACTTCCAGCATATTATGCTGGAGTTGCAGTATATTATACTGAAACTCCAGTATATTATGTTGGAATATTTTTCGGATTTTGAACAATGTTTTCGTTCAGATTTATCTTTACATAAAAAGTAGCTAAATTTCGATTACTTTGAAACTGTGACTATTTTTCAATTACCATTTGTAAATCTGGCTATTTTTGAATTTCTCCCTAATAATTGGCTTCACATTCAAATATAGAATTGTAGATATTTAGTTCATTTCTTAATTCCTATACAAGAACTAGACAAAAGCCACTGGATTTACTTGAACCCGTACCCGACCTCTAGATCTATCCCCGTTTATGAATTTTAAAAAGAGGTTTGCAAGAATTTACATAAAATAAAAAATGAAATAACCGTGTTTGTTCTTAAATGCACTTCATTTTTTTGAACATCAAACTAGAAAGTTTTTCGAAAAAAGAAAATCCAAAGGTCACTTTTCTGAAATATTTTCTCGAAGAGGAAGCGAAACGCACAATTTGGAGTTTAATTATGTGAATATTGATTTTGTACTATAAACAAAAATTATCAGAATATGTTGGTTGATACAAAAAGAATTTCCCAAATCCTATTTCATACACTTTTATTAAGCAAAACGCACAATTTAGAGTTTCACAATTTTTAAAATAAAATAGTAAACTAATTTAATTCACTTCCATTCATCTAAGATCAACAACAACAACATACCCTGTATAATCCCACCGGTGGAGTTTGGGGAGGGTAGTGTATACGCAGACCTTACTCCTACCTGGAGAGGTAGAAAGGCTGTTTCCGAAATAAATTAGAGTAGTTTATGTTATGCATGACCTGCCTATCTCTTAGCAATATGTTTAGCCTGAGATTTTAAGTTGATTAATATAAACTATTAACTACTAAGGTTATAGATATTGAAACCCTTTTATGCTGCATAAAATGTTTCATTTTTATGCCAAAATTAATTAATCCAACAAAAAATAATAACAAACAGGTGATGACTGCATTGCCATCAATACTGGGTGCGTTGATATTCATATTTCTGGTATTTCATGTGGACCAGGGCATGGTATAAGGTAGAACTCCTTTTATTTTATTTTTTAAAAATTTCTATTTATTTCTTTACGTTTTTATAACTAATACAGTACATTGTATGCAGTGTGGGTAGCTTAGGTCCAGATAACACATATGCGTATGTGGACAACGTCTATGTAACAAATTGTAACCTTGTGGGAACTCAGAATGGTGTTAGAATTAAGACATGGCAGGTAAACAAAGTCTCCCTTTCATGTTAATATTATTATAGCCCTTTACGCCAAGTTTCTTTTTGGCCAAAGTATTTTTTTTTTATTATCAAAAGTGCTTTTGTCCCAAAGTAAGGTGTTTGGCTAAGTTTTAGGAAAATTATTTTTGAGTAAAAACAGAAGCAGTTTTTGAGAAAAATATATTTAGAATCACTTTTGTTTAAAGCTTGGCCAAACACTAATTTCTACTCAAAAGTATTTTTAGATTAATTAGCCAAATATAAACTGTTTCTCATCAAAAATACTTTTTTTAAAAGATCTTTTAAGAAAAACACTTTTCAAAATAAATTGATTTTACAATCTTGGTCAGATAGGCTAAAAGGATAAAAGAATTATGAATACTTATACTAATTTATCTCTTCATGCCTTCATAGGGTGGTTCTGGATATGCTAGGTCTATACATTTTGAAGATATTCACCTCAAAAATGTTGAAAACCCCATCATTATTGATCAGAATTATTGCAATGGAGACCATTCATGTCAACCTCAGGTAAAAAAATAAATAAAAATATATCATTTTTTAATTTTCTAAAGAAGACTTTTAAAATTTTCATAATATTTATTTTTTAATGTTGAACAGGAAAGCGCAGTGAAAGTGAGCTATATAACATACAAGAATATACATGGAAGTACAAGCAGCAAAGCAGCAATAAATTTGAACTGTAGCAATAGCACAGCTTGCACCAACATTGATATGGAGAATATCAACATAACTCCAGTTGTCTCTGGACAAAAGATTTTTGCTATTTGCAATAATGCCAAAGGAAAAGCCTCTTCAACTTCACCTCCTGTACCTTGCTTGGATAAATATTAGAGCATATTTTCCATTTATTTAGTTCCATAGTCATTTGCAGTGTGGTAATTAGATTTGACAAAAACTACCGATTGGATATGGTCACAAAGCTATATAAACTATCTCACTTTCAAGTCATGAGCCGCTAAACAAAATTTGAGTACATGAAGCTTGGAGGCATTCCCCATGAATAAACAAAACGTCTAAAATAAGTAAACATTTGACACGATTCGCTAATATAGGAATGAATCAATGGAGCCTGTGAACTTTCTGAATGTTCTGAATGTGATCACAGAAATTTGAAGCTAAACTGAAAGTTTAAGCAATAAAAGAAATTGCATATAAACAAACAAGCACAACACATCATAAAAACTAATCATTTTCTGTTTTGAATCTAAACTGAAGGCCTGAACAGTACAAGCAACTTCACGCAAGCAAATGGTAACAAATAACTATAACAAGTCATACTATTTAATCTTTTTTTGTCATAAAGGTTTTCAATTGTAGTTTATTTTGAATAACGAGGCAAGCAATCAAGCAATTTAATATGCACATTCTAGTCTTGCCCTTAACTAAAGAAAAAAACCTCACTTCACCTCAAATATTTAGCTCCAAGTTACTTGTTCAAGTTATCCGAGTGTTCTATAACTCATAATCAATAATCGGAGTGATATAGATCATTAACTTAATTAATTCCATCTAAACCCAAATCACCAAACAAGCTTAAATATCAGTTCATGGCTTTCTTGGCAATTTCTACCAATATTTTTTTTCAAACTTGAATCTATTAATCATTAAAGATTCTAAGACTACTAATTTATGTAGTAGAAGTGTCGGGAATTTACCTTGAATAATAGCAATGGTGATAATATCTAAATTTGCTGATGTTAAGCACATTTGAGTTTACAATCACTTTACTTGGTCCCAACTCTTTTATCTTTCCCAAATGTGCATTTCACTCGCTGCTATAGTAGTGAAGGGCAATAGTTTCCTCAACCAAAATCAATAACTAAGCATATAGAATAGGAATCATCATATAAGTGACCTTGATGTCTATTAGAAATCCATTACTCAAATAATCACTCAATTATTCGAAATTATCTAGTAATGTCATCTTTCTTTCGTTTGTAATAGAAAAGTCACTTAACTATGCATACAACACTCAGAATGTGACTCAACTAGATTTCTTAAACTTTTGATTATTAAATACCTATTTTGCCCTCTAAATTATCAATTTTTGTAATATTATATTTTTCTCTCTTTTTAATCTACATTATGAACTTGCCGAGAAAATAAAATTTTATTTAAAAAATAAAAATTAATATTCTAGCATATATAATATCAAAATAATAAAATAATGAGCATAATTTTTAAGAATATATAATATATATTATAAAAATACCTTTATTTTAAATATTTTTTTTATATTACATGCATAGAATATATATTTTAAAAACTTTTATTTTCTTTCATTCTCATTTGTGTCAATAAATTTTTGAGTATTTGTTGCTAACATCAAAATTGTTATTACGAACCACTTGTTCTAGTTAAATTATTTACTATGCTCAGTTTTTTATTATTTCAATATTATATATGCTTAAATACTATTTTATTTTTTTATTTTATAGATAAAATTTATTTATTCTATAGGGAAGTTCATTATTTAAATTAAAAAGAAAAAAAATCATATAATTAAAAAGTAAAAGGAAATACAAAAGTTGATAATTTAGAGGGCAAAATAGGTATTTGACAATCAAAAGTTTGAGAATCTAGTTGAGTGACCTTCTGAGTGCTATATGCATAGTGAAGTGACTTTGTTGTTATAAATAAAAGAAAAATGACTTTATTAGATAATTTCGGATAGTTGAGTGACCATTTGAATAATGGACTCCTATTATTTAGGAACTTTTACCTATTTATACTACATTCTAAACTTATTTATTCCTTTTGGAGAGAATATCACTTAATTACAATATCATATACATGTTTACTATTTATATACAAAGTGATGTATTAGACTTCGATCTTTTCCATTTTCTCTCCCTCTTCTTCCTTCCCCATTCTAAATTCTGAAGGCTGGCTATGAGAAAAATCTATCTATATATAATCGAGGGGATAAGAAAGTGACATGGCAACTCTTACCATCCGGGAATCATATTTCTCTTTTTTATCATATTTTTGACTTTTTTCTCATATCTACCATTTGTCTGAATGTTACGACCAAACATACTCACGCAAGTATATGTGGTCGTCAAGTAATAGAGTAGTGAGTAGAGTATCATTTCCACAAAGACTTATGATTAATTTTTGACTGATTCAAACTCAAATAACTTATCGATTCAAGAGATTTCTCACAAAGTGTGTACGTGTCTAATTTACTACCTAAAAAACTATCAAGCAATGAAATAACTAGAAATCAACCACAACACTTAAGAAATTTCAGTTAACAATCAGTAGGAGAGGATATTTCAGGGTCATAGGCTAGCTAACAATCATGTTGCGTTCTTGGCTTAAAATGACTAATTGATTTATCTGGATTGTTGATTGATAAGGTTGATATTACTTATAAGAATATGTCGAGTTCTTACTCGCCTATTCAAGCTAACTTAATGCCTATATGTCTATGGAATTAAGATTAACAAGAATGTATTTACACTTTCTATATTTCAACCAAGCAAGGCAATTAGGTATATTTCTATCCTAATTGCGAATCCGTTCCCTGATGCCCGGGTTCTAGATTCATAAAAAGTATTTCACTGTTAGCTACACAGCAAAATAATTAAGAAAATAATTAAATAAATAACCCAATATGATAAAATCAAACTCGTCAATTTAAACTTCAAACGTCAACATTCATGTAGCACCCATGACCCTATAATAATAGGTTTCTTATCCACTCATATTCATACAATCATAAAAAATAATGTTTTCAAACATAAAATCAATGAATACTAGAAGAAGGATGGGAGAATTGATCAAATTCGTGCTCCCGAGTGTTTCGTACTTTTGTTCTTCTCTCAAAGTCAAGCCCCCCTCAAAGTAAGTTTAGGTTGGCTTTTATATGAGTTGGGGATGTCTTGGGGTCGAAATAACCGATTCCTAGTCGAAATAGGACATGTTCATGTTTTGAGCGTCCAGGGCAGCGTGGGGCGCTGGCCCTGGCGCTCAACCTTTCTTCATTCTGTTTTGTGCGCCACAGGTAGCTCCCCACGCTTCCTATGGCGCTCAACTGGGCCATTTCTCCCTATCTTCCCATTTTCTCTCCAATTCGCGCACTTTCATCCCAAATCGCGTCCGAATGTTCCTACATATAGAAATACCCCAAATTAGCATAAATCATTATATTATACATCTGAAATCTATGAGACATGATCATAATGTGAGGCAATATATATCAAAATATGCATATATTAAGCCTAATATCAACACCCCACACTTAGACTCTTGCTCTTCCTCGAGCAATGGAACTACATTAACACCCCAAAACGTACTGATCACTATGAAATAGCAATTCTCAATTAATTCAATCAAACACTTTACCTTTTGACTATGGTTGATACCGACAATTAAGCATGAACACACAAATTTCACATTCTTCCCGTTTTAAAACTAGCCCAAGTATACACAATTCTATTCAACCAACTCAAGCAACCTCTCCACAAACACCCAACCTCGAGAGACGACTCGTTACCACTAAGCATCCTCATCTCACGTACTCACCCAACAAAAGAAGTGTACAACATCACCAGTCTGTCATGAGACCAAGTGTCTTCATCACAAGCAAAATAGTGAATATAGAGGTAGCCCATACATTCAAATATGTCATTGAACATAAATTAAGGACATCACACTATTGAACAAAATTCGCTCTCTCTCACAAAGAATTCATGCGCATCCTGTGGTCGCACCATAAGCTTGCCCGTAGTGTACATCTCTATTAATCTAAGCTAGCCAAATCTAGGATCAATTAGGACTTTAAGGTTGTAATATAGGCTAAGGGACGGGTAGGATACATTTAGGAATAATGACTAACCCTCCTAAGCACTTTATTACACTACTCTCACAAATTGAGCACATCTTCTTTTCAACCAATTCACTTGTCATACATCATATATAACGTAGCCCTCTTTTCAATTAAGCACCTCTCTATGGTTCTACTAGCATGAATTAGAAGGATTAGGAGGTGTGTATCTTTCTACATTATTTGAACTATTTTTCTCTTTTTTTTTCCTTCTCTTTCTTTTCTCCACACACCCTATACATTAAGGTTCACCGGCTAGTGACCTTTTTTCTTTCACAATTTTATTACACCTTAAGGGCCCTTCTATGGTTCCACTCGAAAGCCACTTCCCAATCTCTCACCTTACTTCTTTCAGCGACTAAGTACCTTAGGAGGTACATGTTCAACAATTTCGAATTAAGAGCAAAATAGGGGTACGACTTGTAATGTGGGTGCCAAAGAAAAGATCTATAGACTCAAAAGGGCTAGCAATGGAATTTTTTTTATTTGTGAGTGACAAGCACCTCTATGGTCAAGCAAGAAACGCCTACGTCATCTCCTAGACTAGCACAACTTAATGATTTCACTTCGATTAACACACTTGGCAAGTTCTAATCTACACAAGATAGCACAAAATATCACCAATCCTTACACACACGTTGCACTTGACTCAATCAGGATGGTTCTGTTCGACTCTCAAGTCAAGCAAGCATAGTGAGTTGAGATTTTTTAAGCAATAATGCACTAGGTGGCATACAAGTCAACTAACTAAGAAAAAGGCATCAAAGAGTAGGATACTTAGTTTACTTATGCATTACAACTCAAATCAAATATTCAGGAAGACAGAGCACATGCCATAGCTTAACGTGCCAACACCAAACATGTCAATAGGCACCTCAGAGCACCTCAGTTTTCTCCCTATCCTACTCCTAAAAAAATAAAAAAATAAAAACACCCGGTTCGAGCTATACCCTTGAAAAAGAACCGGCGTCCAAAGAAAAACCAAGGGATGCTACCTAACTATCCTAAAAATAACAAAGGAAAATCATTTTGGTATTTTTAATCGAACTTTAATCCCTCAAGAAAATTGTCCAACAGATCCATCGTCGGGAAAAGTCCGAACTTCTTCTGATTTTTT